ACGCGAGTAGTTCTCTTGCTTGTGCAAACCGATGGCTTAGAAAAGAAAATACCTGGAGCCTGGATCTCTTACTCCACCCCCCCACGACCATCCCTTTTAATAATTTGAGAGATATATATATCCTCTGCTCGCTCAAGACAGACTCGATGAGCTAATTGCAGTGGTATGTGGGTCAGAGCTCTGCTCTCCTGAGCACCAGCCTTACTGATTTTGGTAGTTACTCCTGATTTGCACCTGAGTAATTGAGAAGGGAATTGGGTTGTATGGGTTGTAACTATTTAAATTGGTTCGGTTTGGAGGAACATACAAGCGCGCAAACAAAACTGGAAGATGCAGCCTGGATTCCCTTGCTTGTTCATAGCCTGTGGGCTTTATTAGACCCTCCAGACTTTACCTAATTTTGGCGTTATTCCCTCGTCATTACGTCATGGACGTGAAGTGGAGACAGGGTCATTCTCTCCTATGTTGTGGTCATGTAAAGGATGCACGTGGGTTTGGTGGGGGGCAGGCTGGCTTTGAACACGTTTCAACTATTTTAAGCACCTTTGGCCATGCTGGGGTTCACACTGGAAGATTCAGTCTTACCAGAGAGGAAATTTTACTCTCCCGTCAGATGCGATACATGCTGGAAACTTTGGGAATGCACTTTGTCTCCGTTCATAGCATCAGAATTAAACTGCAAAGCCACTCTCTGTCACAGACGCCGTGGTCCCAACCTTGGCGTATCCATACATCCTTCCTTTTTGTGAACTGGACATGGTTCCAAGTGCTGGGAATGGTTTCCCTGACTTTGTAATGGCATCAGAAAAAAATGTGCAATAAAAGCAACAAAATCTCGGTCCCCTCTGAGAGCCTTTTCCCCAGGAAATCTGCTTTAGCTGCCCATGGGCAGCATAAGCCGCTGTAGTCTCTTTTTCTATGCGACTCCTTTTGCAGGTTTTACACCTGCCAAAAAACAACCCGACCAACAATGGTGGATAGACTCAAAGTATCCCATCTGTCTGCACCTTCGTGGTGTTTTCCCCATAATCTCGTCATTTATCTGACATTGGCTCGTGCTCAGGCTTTGGTGGTAGGTACATGTAAACCTCTCGCTTCTCAGGTGCCCTCTTTCTCCTTTCTTCCCCCGTGCTCTTCTGGCTCCCGTCCTCCCACTCCCAGGAAATATTTAAAAGATAATTTGGCATATTTTCTGCCACCTTCACATATCTCCCTGACTTCATGTTTTCTTAGCTGGAAGATAGCTTTTCAACATATATATGTAATCCTTTTCACCTAGACATGTGAGGAATTCCAATCTCTTCCAGTGGGAGTTTTCAGGAAGGTTTAGGTTAAATGGGCCAATAAGGCAAAAGCATGTAGGAGAAGATCTCACCCTCGAAAGACGTCTTTTCTCTTTAGCTCTTTCTTCTCCCTCCGCCCCCTGGAAAATATATCAGAATATCTAGCTGTCAAAGAATTTAAACAATAATACCTGATCTGAAGGCTCGAGTGCAGGGCTTTTGGAAATAAAGATTGTAATCTCTGGATGTTGTATCCAGGGGCTAATGGAGCTGGAAGTCAGGTGTCCCGAGCAGCAGACTGCCATGGGGACACTGCCCAGGCTTCGGGGGGACTTATTTTACCTGAGCTCTCAGGGAAATTTCCTTGGATTTTCCCTGGTTGTGGCTGTAGCATCTTTAGGATTGAGACAAACGAGGTGACCAGCCCAGCTCACCTCACATGTATTTAAATGGTGGTGACCGAGCGCTTCTCCTGCTGCGTGTGAGTGGGGGGGTGGGAGACTTCAGCAGCCCCTTCGTCTCCCAGAAACTCTTGTTGCAGCATTCGGGACTAGGTTTTATTTTATTTTAGCTGACTAGATGTGTGGTCCAAGGTCCCTCTCTTGACACCTGAGAGAATTTAGGGAGATGCCTGTTGTAAAAAGGGGAATCTGCTGCAAGGGGTGCCTTGGGCTGGAAGCCAGCTGGGTTATGAACCCAACCCCAAAGCTGCAGCAATCTCTCTTGTAGGAAAAGAGGTCAAGGATCCCTAGAAATAAGAACATGTTTCCAACATCTTAAGACTCAGATTTTTCAGGAGTGGGTACCTCTGGGTGGCCTTAGCCTGTACCTCAGCAGCTTGGATCACAGCA